CCATATAAACTCTTTAAAGGGACTAAAATAATCTAAATGGCAAGATGTTTTTGGATCATAGACTTCCCCTAAAGGTAGCTGGAGGACCTTGTATAAGGCTCCCATTGAGAAAAGGTCTGGGGACCTTCAGTGGAGAATTGTGCATGGTTTAATCTCACCTTGATCCACAGGTAGGGGAGGAGTGTCCTTTTTGTGGGCAAACATAAACTGTTTTTCATCTATTTTTTTTTACTGTGGTAGACTTGAAGCTTTGCTCTCTCAATTAGAAGAATTGTGTAGCATTTTAGGAGAAATTTTTTCACCTGCAATTTTTATTTATGGTCCTAAGTATGACAAAAATAAAAAGCAGAACCACGTGATGATTAACTTTTTGTTTGGGCAGGCAAAATTGGCAATTTTTAAAGTCACGTAAAGGTAAATTAAATGGTATGGGGTCAACTGATGAAGTTTCAATTTTAAAGGGTTTAATAAAATCAAAGTTAAAGGTGGAATATGCTTATTATCAATTGGTTAAAGATATCGAGACTTTTAACTATACTTGGGGGGTGAACAAGTGTTTGTGTGAAACTGACATTGATGGTTCTTTGCAAATTTATGTTTAATTGTATTTTATTGAGATGTATTTTGGTTTGGTTTTAAACTTTGTGTTGTTTATTTTATTATGTAATGGTGGGTATTTTGTGTAGCTCTTATGTAATTTTTTAAAGGAAAAATTGTAATTAAAGATATGTTTAAAGTCAAAAAGTCTCTCGCGCTCTCTCTCTCTCTCTCTCTCTCAATTTCAATTAAAATAGCTTTATTGGCATGACAATTGTTACAATGTATTGCCAAAGCATAGTGTTTACATTGAATCTAGAACAGATATATATGCAACAGAAACATGCATGTATATACATTTAGAAAGTAAAACAAATTAACATTTTAGAATCGTAGAATTCTACAAACAATTTATAATTCAATGTGGTGTGTGTGTCATATTCAGAGACCGACTGCAGCTGAATCAGACTGGATCTCTGACCATCGAGAACATGAGAACCGAACACTCTGGACTTTATAAACTACAGATCGACCACAACACTGGGACCACACATAGGAAATTCACTGTCACTGTCTATGGTGAGCTATATTTATCTTTAAATATCTTTGAATTTTTGAAAATAATGAGATGTTTCTTTGTGTTTTATGAATTAAACTAAATTAAACTGATATTTAAAGAACAGCCAGCAAACATTACTTGTAACGTGTTCAGCGGTCTTATGGAATTGTAGTATGACAACTTCTATTAATCTGCATATGACTTATGATTTATGAATATGAGTTTCGCAGAGTCTCCGTCTGTTATTGATGCTGGTGTTGCTGAAATGAAGCTCATGTCATTGAAGGAGGGAGATCCTGTCATTCTTCAGACTGATGTTCCTCAACTAACCGGAGATGAGCTGATAGTGTGGAGGTTTGGAGATGAAGGAAAACTCATAGCTAAACATGATATAGAAGCCAAGAGCTCACCATTATATGATACTGATGAGAGATTCAGAGACAGACTGCAGCTGAATGACCAGACTGGATCTCTGAGCATCACAAACACCAGAACCACAGACTCTGGACTTTATACAGCGAAGATCAGCAGCAACAAACAGACTTTATACAAGAGATTCATTGTTACTGTCAGTGGTGAGTAACTCAATTGTTTTAAAGTAACGATTGTTTATCAGCTCTCTGTGAATAATTCAATTGATCTGACATTAAAATGTGAACCACAGCAGTATTTCTCAAACTATGCATGTGCTGTTTTATAATAATCAAAAGAATGGTTCGCCCTGTATCTGATGATATTCAGGCTGATGTTCTTGATCTGCTAATCAAATGTAAATGACAAATTGTAAATGTGATATAAAGCACCTTTGTATTCATGCTAAAGTACTTGCCTGATGAATTCGCCATACTGCACTAGTAAAAAGGATGGAAAAAGATTTTTTGCACTTTTACTCAACTCTGTATTTAAAGAAATGTGATATGATACCACATTGTGTTGTGCCTTGTATTATTATTATTCACTGCTATTTGTATTATTCTCATTTGTTAACCATTTGAATAAATGTTAATATAAATATACTGAGCTATCTGTGTATTTGATCTTTCTGTCTGATCATTACTGTAGTGCTCAAACACTGATTTAGTTGTTAAACAAACGTGGATATATATATATTTTTAATCTCATTAAGTTGTGTGAAATCTGTTGCTTCACGCTGTATGCTCTGTGACAAAATCTTCAGAGGAAACGGAATCTGAACAGATATAGCTGTAATCTATCTTTGAGAGTTTGTGCAGTACATTAAACCACAATCTGACTGAATATGTTCCATTAAAAAAAAACAGTAAAATCTAAATTATTAACATGCTGAACTCAATGGTCAATGAACTCATTGAAAACAATAGTCAAATACTCCACCATAAGCATTAACGTTTAATTTAAAGTTCTATCTTGGGGAAAAAAATATCTACCTTGAAAGCCATGAATGCAACAAAGTGCTCAAATTAAATCTTAATTAGAGGTAAATACAAACCAAGAGCGGTGTGGAATATAAAATGAAGAACTGACAAATGTTCACACATTAATTTTTGTGACTGTGTATCTTCTCATTTCACACACTTTCACAGTTTTATTTCCACTCCAGTGGCAGCAGCTTCTCAAAACGGTGTTTTAAATGGAAAACACCCACATCCATGATGTATTTGAGGTATGCCACCTTAAAAGATTTCTTTCCGTCTAATAGTTTTTCTTTTGAGCGGGTAGTGTCGCAAAAATTTAGTTTTTTTCTGCATTAAAGTGTCTAGTAAATATAAATGTAGAATTGCAATATGGAGTTATTCATCCCTTCTTAAAAGGGAACATCCATCCCTCTTTTAGGTCTGTGTTAAAAGAGAGCTGCCTGTTGTGAACTTAATTAAGCCGACTGCTGTAGCCTATATCCAGCTTAGGCTGTTTTCCCTAAATTTGTATATATACTGTTTGAATGACAGCTTGCTAAATCTGTTGGTGATCAAATATTCAATATCGCTACTCATCATAAGTACTTGGTACATTATCAGCGCAGCAGCAGACGTTCAAACTAATAGCACATAATTTACGTCTCTGTGATGATTGGTTGATATCAGAAGGGAGGCTAGCCTCCCTTGCAAGGGTTCTTTTCTCAACACTCTTCAGCGCTGAAAGTGAACACTCGATGCTGATTGGCTAGTTTTTTTTTTACCAACGGCGGCACAAGAGCTCAGCGCTCGCTTGGGCTCCCCCTCCCCTTCTCTATCACCTTGCGATTGTAATTACATCAGCAGATTCGGCACATTCACGATAGAAAAGCTGCGCTTTCACGTTATGATATTACAACTGTGAAATTACAAACAAAAAATACACATTCTGAGACATGACCTGAAATGAATTGTGAATTTTATTAACATTAAATCGTCCTCCTCCCATTTTCACCTCAAAATCATGGGGAAGCTGTGCCTCCCCTGCCTCCCCTGACGAGCCGCCACTGTGTCAGTGATGGAAGGAGATTCTGTCACTCTACACACCGATCTTACTGAAATACTGAACGATGATACATTGCTATGGTTGTTTGGGCCTAAAGAATTTGTCATATCTCAATTAACGAGAAAAAGCGACTTGACCTCATTTTTTGTCACCGATGATGTGGGATTCAGAGGCAGATTGCACGTGGATCAAAACACTGGCTCTCTCACCATCAGAAACACCAGAAAGAGACACTCAGGACAATATAAACTAACCATCTCCAGAGAAAAGATCACATCCAGGATATTTAGTGTGGATGTCTTTGGTAAGTATCTCAAGAGTATATCTTTCATTGAATGTTATAATGATCTTGTTTCAGGATTTCATGCTGTAAGCATCTTACATGAATGTTCTTGTTGGTTCACATATGTGTGATTCCACGCGGGTTTCTGGAGGAGAGTAAAACAAAAAATCTGTTCAAATCAGTTCTTGTCCGATTTGTTTTCCAGGTGTGGTTGGTGAGACGGGTGGAGTGAAGTCAGTATCAGTGCTGGAGGGAGATTCTGTCACTCTTCAGAATGATGTTACTGAATTAGAGGAGAGTGATCTGATAGTATGGAGGTTTGGAGATAAAGGTGTCCTCCTGGCTAATATTGATGTAGAAACGAACGAGGCCTCAATAAATGTTGATGATGAGCGATTCAGGAACAGACTACAACTAAATCAGACTGGATCTTTGACCATCAAAAACGCCAGAACCGAACACACAGGACTTTATGAAGTACAGATCAGAGGCCGAGAGAGCTCGCAGCAATTCCTTCTTTCTGTCAGTGGTGAGTTTCAAAGTAAAGGTCTACAAAATATTTGGAAATAAATGAGTAAGTATGAAATATAAGCTGACTTGTGTGTCAGTTACATTACTAATAAAATGGCTAGAGATACAAAAAAAAGAATAGAAAAGTATTTTAGGGCTAGGCCAGTGAATGCACAGACCTCTGGAGGGGCAGGGGAGGAATAGTGGTGCGAGGCCACAATCGAGATTGGGTCGGCTTCCCCAAACTGAGTGTCTCGCATAATCTCAAACACAGTAGACTCTAGGAAACAGATGGATAATTTGAGCATATTGCTATTAGTATGTGTGCTCGCTTTTACTTTCGCTTTTGAATTTGCAATTACGTGCACTCTATGTATAGGGAGAAGTCAGTATTGAGAGCACATTTTACAAGAAGATAATATATTTGTCAGTGATGCTCAGGATCTGTTGCTCATCAAATCAAACTACCACAGCAAGCCCAATACCAATGATAAACTAATGTGGAAATTAAAGTCGCCACTGCCTGTTAAGAGTGTAAAATATTGGCCTGTGTCACAATACACTAAAACTTATCTATACATGAAGAGTTCAGATGCAAAAGCCTCTAAGTACATCTGACGTTTTTCTTTAAAATTAGCATTTCTTTCTGGCTACTATGTATAGGTTTCTATGTAAGTACTGGTATTTCTGAATGGGTTGAGGCTCGGAATTTAGCGCATTTGTAGTGAAAGTACTTGATAAACATATACTATGTGTGGAGAGCAATCACTCAGTATTGTTATCTCATTTTTGACCAAGATGGCTTTTAGAGGCTTTTGCATTGGAACTATTCACATGTCAACTTATCCTGTAATCATTCACTGTCTCCTTTTAGCTAGGCCTATTCCTGATCCGGGTCCATCTACAGATGTCACAGTTGGAATAGTTGTTGCTGTTCTGCTGGTGGCTGCACTTTTAGCTGCAGTTGTGATTTACTATCGCCACAGGATCTCTAAACTACAAAAACAAGTGGGTAAGTATTACAGCTGATACAAGCAACACAAAGTTTTAGCAGACTGTATAGATAATTTCCCTGAAGATTTCTGACACAGTTGTGCAATTCTTTGCCTATTTTATTTAATGATAATGTTGGCTTGAGAAAGCCAGCATACTGTTATGCCAGTAAACTTATTCCGAGACTAAAGTTTCTGACATGTTAAATCATACCAGCAGTACAGCTAAAACATGCCAACAATGAGGTAAAACATTATAGCAAATGTCTAAAATATGCTAGCAATTTCCTAAAGCATGCTAGCAATGTTAAAACATGTTTGAAAATGCTAGCAATGTGTTAAAACATGTTAACAACATGCTATTAACATTCTAAAACATGCTCTTTGTGAAGTTAAGCTTGACCATATGAACGCATTTCTGTTCTCTGCTTCTATGTGCCACTGTGACAGCTGAAGAAAAGACGGTGCCAGGGACAGAAGGGAGATCTGTCAATCTAGAGACTGGTACTGAACTACGGAAAGGTGATGAGATAAAGTGGTGGTTTGAGGACCTCATCCTCATTGAATTCACAAAAAAGACCAAGGAGGCAAGTGATACAGAATGTGATGTTCCTGATGGGATATTCAGAAACAAGCTGGTGCTGAATGAGAAGACTGGAGATCTCATCATCAATAACATCAGGACCATTCACTCTGGACTCTACAAACTACAGATCAGCCGCAAAAACGGAAAAACCGAATACATGAGATTCATTGTTACAGTCACTGGTGAGTAGATCAATAATCATGCACTGTGTGAACAGCTGAGATCATCTGAACTTATCCCAAATTCCCAAAGTACAACATAATTTTAGTTACTTTGAGATTTTAATGTTTTTCATTTTAATTACTGTCATATTAAAATTACTAGAACAAATTCATCATAAGTAAAAAAACAACAACAACAATATCATCACCAAATGTGAACTATTTTATCGCCACACTCTGAACTGAGGCATTAATATAAATTTCAAACACTAACGTTATGAATATAAGTGAAGCTGCTTCAAAACAGTGTGTTTTGTGAGAAGTGCAATGCAGATATACTAAAATTATGAAACTAAAGGTTTGCTAACACCATGGACAATAACAAAACGGATATATTTTTCAAAATAACAGAGTCCACATAGGGTCCACACCACAACTATAATGATAATGACACAGAACAATATAACTGGAATAACCTATCCATTTTATATAAATAATCCATCTTGCTTTAATCCAGCTTGAGCATTTAAAGCTTGAAATGACAATCTTGTGTGTTGGTGTGGATGCTAATATAGTTATTATTGTAATTATCTTTATAGTTATTGTTATTGAGGTTAATGGGTATTAAAGGAGTAATATTGTACAAATAAATTATAATTTTTTTTGTCAAAATCATATTACAAGAAACGTGATGATGAATCATAAGTAGTCATAGGTAATTCATAGGCAATCATAGGAAGTCAAATACTACAGCATATTCTATGATTTGTGAATTTAGGTAATATCTTCCTAGATAGATGAGCTGAAACTACAAACATAACAAACTAGGTTAAAATGCCATCTAAATAAATGTGTTGAAAATGCAAATTAAATTAATGCAATTTTTTCTGTATTTCTGTTTCTTTGTGTTGCTTTGACATGAAGTGAAGGAGGTGCCAGCGAAGGTTGGAGAATCTGTCACTCTAGACCCTGGTCTTGAAACACTGAGAAGTGATCTGATACTGTGGACGTTTGGAGCTAAAAACTGTCTTGTTATTAAAGCCGAATCAGGAACGACGAGTATTAGTGATAGATTCAGAGACAGACTGGAGCTGAATCATCAGACTGGATCTCTGACCATCACAAACACCACAGATACAGACTTTGGACTTTTTCAACTTCAGATCATCAACAGAGACCGGACCAGATACAGGAGATTCAATCTGACTGATACTAGTGAGTAGAATTACATTTATTATAATAACTAGGTTATATATTAATTTTTAACAAACAGGCATTTCCCACACATTTTTAGATGTGAACAGGCCCTAAAAAATGCAAATAGTTTGTGCAAGTCTGTATCTTAATAAGTACTTCATTGAGTCATTTATTTGACTGATTCATTCAAATGGCTGCTTTATTTAGAAAGGAAGCCAGTGACAGTCTTTATGAATGGATCATAGAATCATTGACTCCCTCGATTCATTCAAAGACAGATTCATTCATGAATGAAACACTGCAATGCTCTGAGACACACAAATGCTAGAAATCATTAACTGCATTCTAATAGGCATCATCATGCAATGAATGCTTTTGGGCTCTCAAAATCCCACATTTTTGTTTGAGTGACATACTCAATAGAGTCAGCTCGCACATCTGTAAAACAATAACAGATATCATAGATGAGAAATATCGCACATGACCTATAGTAAAGTAGACCTGAAAATGCTTTATTCATTGATGGTGATTATTCATGTGATTTTTTTTTTTTAGGTTTTCAAGGAAAGATTTCTGCAGATTTATATTGTAAAAAATGTTATCTTTGTTTTATTTTCTCATTATATTTTGTTTCATGTTCTGTTGTTTTCAGCATGAATTCCCTACTCTTGAGTGGAGCTGTAACATCATCCATGTGTAGATGTACAGTGGGGAAAAAAAGTATTTAGTCAGCCACCAATTGTGCAAGTTCTCCCACTTAAAAAGATGAGAGAGGCCTGTAATTTTCATCATAGGTATACCTCAACTATGAGAGACAAAATGAGAAAAAAAAATCCAGAAAATCACATTGTAGGATTTTTAAAGAATTTATTTGCAAATTATGGTGGAAAAAGAAGTATTTGGTCAATAACAAAATTTCATCTCAATACTTTGTTATATACCCTTTGTTGGCAATGACAGAGGTCAAACATTTTCTGTAAGTCTTCACAAGGTTTTCACACACTGTTGCTGGTATTTTGGCCCATTCCTCCATGCAGATCTCCTCTAGAGCAGTAATGTTTTGGGGCTGTCGCGGGCAACACGGATTTTCAACTCCCTCCAAAGATTTTCTATGGGGTTGAGATCTGGAGACTGGCTAGGCCACTCCAGGACCTTAAAATGCTTCTTACGAAGCCACTCCTTCATTGCCCGGGCGGTGTGTTTGGGATCATTGTCATACTGAAAGACCCAGCCACGTTTCATCTTCAATGCCCTTGCTGATGGAAGGAGGTTTTCACTCAAAATCTCACGATACATGGCCCCATTCATTCTTTCGTTTACACGGATCAGTCGTCCTGGTCCCTTTGCAGAAAAACAGCCCCAAAGCATGATGTTTCCACCCCCATGCTTCACAGTAGGTATGGTATTCTTTGGATGCAACTCAGCATTCTTTCTCCTCCAAACACGACAAGTTGAGTTTTTACCAAAAAGTTATATTTTGGTTTCATCTGACCATATGACATTCTCCCAATCCTCTTCTGAATCATCCAAATGCTCTCTAGCAAACTTCAGACAGGCCTGGACATGTACTGGCTTAAGCAGGGGGACACGTCTGGCACTGCAGGATTTGAGTCCCTGGCAGCGCAGTGTGTTACTGATGGTAGCCTTTGTTACTTTGGTCCCAGCTCTCTGCAGGTCATCCACTAGGTCCCCCCGTGTGGTTCTGGGATTTTTGCTCACAGTTCTTGTGATAATTTTGACCCCACGGGGTGAGATCGTGCGTGGAGCCCCAGATCGAGGGAGATTATCAGTGATCTTGTATGTCTTCCATTTTCTAATAATTGCTCCCACAGTTGATTTCTTCACACCAAGCTGCTAACCTATTGCAGATTCAGTCTTCCCAGCCTGGTGCAGGTCTACAATTTTGTTTCTGGTGTCCTTTGACAGCTCTTTAGTCTTGGCCATGGTGGAGTTTGGAGTGTGACTGTTTGAGGTTGTGGACAGGTGTCTTTTATACTGATAACGAGTTCAAACAGATGCCATTAATACAGGTAACGAGTGGAGGACAGAGGAGCCTCTTAAAGAAGAAGTTACAGGTCTGTGAGAGCCAGAAATCTTGCTTGTTTGTAGGTGACCAAATACTTATTTTATCGAGGAATTTACCAATTAATTCTTTAAAAATCCTACAATGTGATTTTCTGGATTTTTTTTCTCATTTTGTCTCTCATAGTTGAGGTATACCTATGATGAAAATTACAGGCCTCTCTCATCTTTTTAAGTGGGAGAATTTGCACAATTGGTGGCTGACTAAATACTTTTTTGCCCCACTGTATATGTAACAGAACTGTTTCTTACTTTCTTTCTTTTTAATTTCTGTGTGCTCTATTTTCTTTTATATTCCACAGTGAATGAATCAACTGAAGAGAAACCACTGCTGAATTAAGAGTATGAGCAGCAGGGGACTTCAGTTTAATAAGACATGCCCACCAGTGCCAATCACTGAGCTCAACAACATCTTTCTGCTTTTATGAAAAAAAGAAAAGAAAAGGAAAAAAGAAAAGAAATATAACAATGTACTTACTTAATTTTTTCTTTTATTTTTTTCAACATATATACATTTTTGTATTTCTGTTGTTGTCTATACCAGTGAAGCTTTGTTGAGGAAGAGAAAAAAAGGCAATTTGTGGTCTATGCAAACAGCAGATGGCGCTAATGCACTATTATAGTTTCAGATCATGTGCTAAAAAGGGAAAAAAGTTACTGTCAGCTTAGAGGCATAGAGGTTTCACCAGTCTTTCAGATTTTGGGGGAAAAATTGCGGCTTCTTTCATAGCATAGTTTCGTAGCAGTCATGTTAATTCATTATTTACCATTAAAAAAAAAATCTATTTTTAACAAATGTCATATAGTTTTCATCAAAATGTTACATACACAAATGTTAATTATTTTACCAAAGCAAAAGTGATCATACAAAATGCATGTTATTTTTTATTTAGTACTGACCTGAATAAGCTATTTCACATCAAATGTGTTTACATTTAGTCCACAAGAGAAAATAATAGCGGAACTTATAAAAATTAACACATTCAAAAGTTTACATGCTTGATTCTTACTACTGTGTTGTTACCTGGATGATCCACAGTGGTTTTATTTTTATTTAGTTTTACACTTATTTTAATTTATTTATTAATTTATTTCATTGTTTCTCATACTTTCTTGTCCACACACTCTAAAAAAATGCTGGGTAAAATAGGGACAAACCCGGCAATTGGGTTGTTTTGACCCAGCGGTTGAGTTACTACCCAGAAGGTTGGGTTAAACATTTAACCCCACCGCTGGGTCAAAACAACCCCATTGCTGGGTTTGTCCCTATTTTACCCAGCACTGGGTTGTATTTAACCCAGCATTTTTAGAGTGCAGTGATGGGCAAAACACCCGAAGCTGGCCACCTTCTGAGAGATGTAAAAAAAAAAACTAGAGCTAAACACAATTTTAGACATAAAAGACACTTTTACACTTTGGCAAAGTCAACTGCAGGATGTTTTATGAGCGTAATTTACCATTTTAGATTTTAGGATTTCCTCATTAAAATAGATAAAATTGGTCTTGAATACCCAGAATATCTGCCCGGATGCTTTTCAAATATTGCTGCCGAATGAACAGACTTTATTTGAAATAGACTTGGATATGAATTAATATACAAACACTTCAAATAAGTTAATATTGACATTTCCATATATCAGTGTTTAAAGGCCTACAATATAATTGAGTATCAGTTAAAACTTAATGTGTTTTCATATTCAGTCACAAGAGGGAGCTAATTCAATTTCATTGGGCAGCATCACCCTGAAAGCAGTCACTGATAAAACATAATATATATTAAAATATTTGAAGTTGCATATGTTGCTAGAAAATACATTTATTTCACCAGACACATATTTGCTGAATGCCCTTCAAAGAAGAAGGCCATGCCTTGTGGTCCTAGATAAGTGTAGTTACAACATCTACCAGCAGGGCCGAACAGGCCAAAACCAAAAGACAAGAGAGGAAACAATACATACCCTGAGCCAGTACATATACTGTGAAAAATTTCTAAAAATAAGTATAATGAATGTATTTTATGTGCATGTATTTAAAAGCACAATATTACTGGGAGGAGACCATTTAATGAATCCATTTCGTTTTCACAGGAGCTTGATGATTATCAGGCCAAATCTGAATTCAAATCAAAAACAGGACCAGGCAGTGATCACATAACTCATAAAATCATTTAGGAAAATATATTTTAACACTTCCACCAAAACTGAAGTTTCCACATAGCAGTTTTTAAGACCTTCGCCCCTATAAAATAACAGTTTTTCCATGTTTGGTCACAGCAGGGTCTTACACTACAGAGGTCTGTACACCATTAAACTGAGTTCAAATTAAACAAATGACACCTGAATCAGATTTGATCGGATGAAAAAGACTGTGGAGATACTTGATCAGGCCAAACATCTGTAAATTATGCGGTTCAACAGCAATGAATGCAACAATGGGTTAAAATAGTTGTGATGAGAGATCAAAGGTCAAACTAAGAGCAGAATGGAATATAAACGGAAAGGACTAAGGTTCACAGATTTACTTTTGCGACCTTGTGATTGTGATTGTCAGTGATTGTCACACTCAGTGCTTTTTTCCACTGCAGAACAGAACTACTTCATCTTACAAATGTTTGTCGAAAGCAAAAAATGCTACAAAATGTCACTAAGTGGGACATTCTGAAGCGAAAAAGGTGCTATGTTTTGCCATCAGCACTCCAAAATTAGTAAGAAACAAGTGCAATCTATATATGCCTTAATGAAATCCTGTATAAACTAGGGAAAACCCTTCAAATGATGGACAAATGCACCACTTTTATGAACTTTTTAATATTCATACATTTGTATTCATGCATTTTCATCTCCTGCCCCGTATTTGGGGTGTAAAAAGTTACTAAACCAAAAACAGAATCACAGTTTGATCAAGAGTTGGTCAGCATCTCGAGAATCCAGTGTACACCACATTATCCTGCTAATTACGCCTCTGAAAGAAAATACAAATGCATGGTCATATGTATTTTTTCCATGAACATAAATTGTAGCCTATGTCTACATTCATTCTTGTTAAAAAGCATGTGGTAGCCTACACTGAAACTCAAATGTCTTCACAATAACCCAAAAATAAAAGTTCAGTATTACCTAAAGAAATGATAACACATATACAGTATTTATTACTGCAGAGTGGAATGTACTTCTTAAAGGAACAATAATAATAATATAAAAAGTAAAAGTAAACTTATATTTGACATTACAATGTATATATATATGCTGATGGGAGATCCTCTAACCATGGGGCAGTTGTGGCTCTTCCTCATACATTCTCTTGTTCTGTTTCTGCAGTTAATTCAGCTCAAACAGTTTAATATACTAATTTAAAACTTGAATGTGAGAACGTGGGTTTGATTGGAGAGGATGTGGATGGAGTGAATTAACAGGAGGGGAGGAGTTCACTTTAATAACATAAGACCCGCCCACCAGTGTCAATCACTCTGACATCATCAACATTTCAGCTCCAGCTACAACAACACAAACATGTTTCTGCTTTTATGAGCCTCTAGAATCCGTTCAGTGAAAGAGAGAAATGAATCTGTGTGTGTTGAGCTTTTTAAATTGCATTTAAAAAGCTTATTTGGTTTTATATGAAGCAAAAAACAAGCATTTATTATATTTTATGCATATTACATAATTTTTTATCCAGTTTAATTTACATTTTTAATTAAATATGTTATCCAAAGATATTGTCGTGGAAATTCACAATATTAATCTGACTTCACCACAGACAACTCAAACAAGTTGTTAATATAATAACTATACAGTATATCGGGCTAATTCCCTGAATTCCCCGAATACTTACAATATAATCCAATACTTCCCTGAAGTATGGTGACGGCGTCCCGTCAAGAAGCTACTATCACTACCTCAATCACACATGAGCACACAGGTCTTTAGCATCTATACACTCTCACCGCCCTTCTCAGCTGTACGCTGTTACCTCAGCCCAAGGACAGCTCTATAGTCTTCCAACACTATCACTGTCTTTGCGGTGGTCTTTTGAGCATAGAGTCTTTATTTCTATTCCTCAGCTGCACTGCATATACCAGACACCACTCCCAAGTTGCTCTTTGCAGGAATGAAAGTTTTATTCACGGCTGAGAGCCCATGGTCACTCATAACAACCAAGAGAGACTCCCTGAACAGAAGGATGCATGAACATTTATACCTTGTATTTGAGTAAAAATCAATGTCAGCTCAAGTCTTCTTCACTGTAATTGGTTACTGATCTGGTCATTGGTTTGTCATATGACTGTTAGTTCTACTGTTTTAAGCACTTTTTGGATAAGTATAGATTATTTAATCATAGGGACACAGTCTTTGATCTGAGCATTCTTAGTCTGCACTTTTCTGAACATTCTATGTTGAACATACCCTTTTGACTCCTTCTGAGGCCATTACATGAAATATTTCCATCACAATATGTTCTGAAGTTAATGTTTCTCATCCACAAATCTCAACCAGATCTGAATGCCAGATTGTATATGCAGCTGAATATGAGCTCTAACTGATTATGACCAGATATACAAACCCAATTCCAAAAAAGTTGGGACACTGTTCAAATTGTCAATAAAAAAGGAATGGAATAATTTACAAATCTCATAAACGTATATTTTATTCACAATGGAATATAGATAACATATCAAATGTTGAAAGTGAGACATTTTGAAATGTCATGGCAAATATTGGCTCATTTTGGATTTCATGAGAGCTACACATTCCAAAAAAGTTGGGACAGGTAGCAATAAGATCTGTTTTATTTACAATTTGTACAGTGTCCCAACTTTTTTGGAATCGGGTTTGTAGTTGAGGGAGGAAAAAACACATAAAATAAAATGATTTTCTAGTTGTGTTAGTTGAAATCACAAACACCCAGTTACTGCAACTGGGCCTATAAAATCAGATTTTGTTTAATTATTCAGAGAATGAAACAGTGCAGCATAATACAAATACTACTTCTAATAATAATAATGGTTGTGTGTCAAATATGACGTTTTAAATTATATTTATTACCGTACATTTTGTTTTTATTGTTTTACAGTTTAAAAGTACCATCTAGACTTTTATTGCAATTCAAGTGCTGCCATGAAAATACTTTTAAACGCACTTCATCTTCTTCAGCACACGATGGCAGTAGAAGAAAATGGAAATATGAAGTGTTAGAAAGTGGTATATGATCCCTGTCTTGCATTGTAATGTGCAAATTGTGCAAAAAAATTATTAAAAACTAAAAACTGTAAAGATGTTTACAATTAATAAACATTGCTATTTCAAATCATTTTAAATAATTCATATTTCTATTTTCTATTTCATATTTTTAATCTGTTCTAAGCTTTTGGTTCATCATCAAAAAGAAAAAAAAAACTTAAAAAACACCACCACATA